CCCGCTTTCTCCTCTCTCTCCTCCTCCTCCTCCTCCTCCCCTCCACTCCCGGCCCGGCCCTCACTGCTTTCCCCCGCTCGGGCTCTCTTCGGCTCCTTTACGCTTCTTTCGCACATGTTTTTATTTTTCTTTTTTCTCTCTTTCATCTCTTTTATTGTCTCCTTTTCATATCTTCTTTTCATCTCCTTCTCCTCTTTTTCTTTTATTTTCCTTCTTTTGTTCTATTCTTTTTCTCCTCTCCTTTTCCTCTCCTTTTCCTCTCCTTTTCCTCTACCTTTCCTTACTTTCTTCTCTTTCTCCTCTCTTTCTTCTCTTCTCTTTTTCTTCTCGTTTTCTTCCCTTTTTCCTCTCCTTTTCCTCTTTTCCTTCTCTTTTTCTTCTTTTCCCTCTCTTTTTCTTCTCCTTTTCATCTCCTTCTCCTTTTTCTTCTCTTTTTCTAATTTTTCTTCTCTTTCTCTTCTATTTCTTCTCTTTCTCATTTCTTCTCTTTTCCTTCTTGTTTTCTTCTTTTTCTTCTTGTTTTCTTCTCCTTTTCTTCTCCTTTTTCTCTCCTTTTCCTCTCCTTTTCCTCTTTCTTCTCTTTCTCCTCTCCTTCTTCTCTTCTTTCTTCTTGTTTTCTTCCCTTTTTATCTCCTTTTCATCTCCTTTTCCTTTCTTTCTTCTCTTTCTCCTCTCTTCTCTTTCTTCTCTCTCTTTCTCCTTCTTCTCTTTTTCTTCTTTCTTCTCTTTCTTTCCCCTTCTTTCCCCCTTCTTTTTCTTTGCATCTTTTTCCCTTCCTCTCCTTCACATTTCCCCCTTCTTTTCCCCTTTTACTCCCTTTCTTTCCCCTTCTTCTCCCCTTCTTTTTCTTTGCATCTTTCCCCCTTCCTTCTCTTTACATTTCCCCTTCTTTTTCCCTTCTCCCCTCCTTTCCTTTTTTCTCCCCCCCCCCCCCTCCCCACCTTTTCCCTTTTTTCCTTCTGTTTCTCTCTTTTCCTCGTTCCCTCTCTCTTTCCTCTCCCCCTCCCCGGGCGCAGGCGGGTGGCCCCGGTGCCAGCAGGAGGGGACGGTGCCAGCGGGGGGGGGACACCATGG